GTATGTGTGTGTGCAAAGTAAAACAAATAATAATAATACTTATAATAATTAAAGCAGCGACAAGTACAAAAATAATATTTATTGTGCAACATATCACAGTAGAGTTGGCTGATGACAGAGCTGATGCAGCTCTTGTGATTAAGAGTCAGCGCCTGAGAGCCGCTGGGGTCTTGTAGAGATAATTAGTGTACAGATTTGATCATTCCATTAACAGTTTATTAATTACATAATATATGAATATGTTGTACATTGTTATACAGCAGGTGTTGTATGATTTATACATTTTTTGTTGTTAAATGGTAGTTTTGATTATGTTGGCAGAGAGGTGCATAAAAAATGCTGGCTACTTGATAATCCTTCAGCGTGTGAGACGTCTGATTTATTTTATATTAAACATAAAATAATACTTCGTGTTAGGTGCTGGGAACAATGTATTTATGGTATAATTAATATATATATATATATATATATATATATATATATATATATATATATATATATATATATATATATATATATATATATATATATTAGTATATTTTGGTAGCAGTCTTTCCTGTAGACATATATTATTAAATATGACCGAAAAAGTAAGATTAATAATTCTAACACGAATTTTCTCAATCTTTCGTACATTTTTTTCACTGTTGGAGGTAATTCAAAAATCAATTCTCCAAAATTCATTTTTATTTAAAATAAAAATGAATTTTGGAGAATTGATTTTGAATTACCTCCAACAGTGAAAAGAAATGTACGAAAGATTGAGAAAATTCGTGTTAGAATTATTAATCTTACTTTTTCGATCATATTTAATAATATATATATATATATATATATATATATATATATATATATATATATATATATATATATATATATATATATATATATAATGTATGCGTGTGTGTAAACCACGAAAATTAACACGTGATGAGCAATGTGACAGTGTCAGACCACGAAGGAAGGATTAAGACAGGAATTTTCTTAAGTACTTTTGTATTTAACAATATATCTTCAGAAGGATGGATTTATTCCTCAGTGGGATGGACATGTAGACAGGGAAGAGGTGAGATGAGTTAAACAATACATGTATATCATAAAAATCTCAAGGTCTTGACATTATTTTCGAACCCTGAAAAAATATGGCAAACAACACATTTTGGGCGATTTTTTCACTACATATATTATTATAATATGTACGACATTCTTTGCTACGGCAAACTTCCAAAAAACTCAGTGGATAATAAAGCTTGAGACCAATAAAATCAATATTCCTAAACTCTTCATCCAAGAATTCTGGACTAGCAACCCGAAATGCTCTCAGGTACACAGGAAAAAGTTATTGTTTTACATTGTATCTATGCCTATGTATCTATCTATTGTTTCACATTGTATTTATAGGGAGTCGGTCGGCCGAGTGGACAGCACGATACTTGTGATCCTGTGGTTCCGGGTTCGATCCCAGGCGCCGGCGAGAAACAATGGACAGAGTTTCTTTCACCCTATGCCCCTGTTACCTAGCAGTAAAATAGGTACCTGGGTGTTAGTCAGCTGTCACGAGCTGCTTCCTGGGGGTGGAGGCCTGGTCGAGGACCGGGCCGCGGGGACACTAAAAAGCCCCGAAATCATCTCAAGATAACCTCAAGAAGATGCCCTGAGTAATAATGAACATAAGATAAATTATTCGTAGGCTTTCTGTAAACACTAAACTTTAGGGAAAAATTAAAAAATAGCAAACATTTATCAATTTCAGTCTGTATAGTAAATTTTATAGAGGTGACTTGATCATTAAGGTTTAGCTACAAATTCGTCTGAATTTATATTTGAAGGCCATATACACAACATATCATCAACATATCTAAACCAGGGGTACTTTTTGAAACAAATTTCTTTAAAAAAATTCTACGTTCAAGTTTGAAAGCAATGGCGATAAAGGATTCCCCATTGCCATTCCAAAAGTTTGTAATACTCATTATTTAAGTAAATTTACATTCTTTTATACACAGCTTAACGAGAGTGACTAATATCAGCAGGCAGAGGTAATACATGTTCATTAATTCATAAGCTAGGTGATCAAGAATATTCTTGATTGTGATCGATTGTGATGGGAGCGGTGGAAAAAAAGAAGTGTTAAGTCCGCAGACACTAACAATGCTCTCTTTTGTCGTGTTAGGGATTCTAATCATCCTATTGATTGGTCTTTTTCTAAAAAAATCTTACCTCTACACAGACGCCGTCTTGTCGAATCGGTTCTGATACACAACATACCCAACATGAACTTGAGTCCTGGCTTTGTTGCTGTTAACTCTTCCCTTTCACAGTATATACTCAAATGTTCTCACTTTTCTAACAAACGTGACCTAACATAGGCTTTCCCCCCTCTCTCCCTTTCATTTTTTTGCTTATTTCTTTCTCCCCTTATTCTTTCGTTCCTATTCTTACACCCCCCTTTATTACACTCATCCCATCCATTCCTTTCTTCTTGTTCTTACCTTCTTTTAGGAATTTCGTCCTTCTTTCTCCTCATCTCTCTCTTGCCTTGCTTAATGTCCGTGCCTTCCTCGCTCCCAGGCACGGGATATTCATGCCCGTGCCACCTCTTGGGTGGCTTAATCTTGCCACCGATCTTGATTAATCTTGCTTAATCAATCAATCAATCTCGCTCCCATCACAGTCAACTTGATGAGGGTCCAGGACGGACTGAAACGTCGTCGTCTCCTCATCTTCTGGTGTGCACGGGAGGCATCTCCCGTCACGCAGGGTGCAGTCGCACCTCCACAGATCTCCAGTATCATCTATTGATACTGGAAATGGCTCAAAAGGGCCACCACTTATGGGCTATTCGTGCCCGTGCCACCTTTTGGGTGGCTTAATCTTCTCTCTCTCTCTCTCTCTCTCTCTCTTCTGGTGTGTGGTTCAGTTCTCATATATTCAAGCCACGTTATTGTGACTCATCGTCTGCACCGTTATAATATTAACTCACGCATTGTCAACGTTAGAAAAATGTTGTTGTTAAAGATTCGCTACTTGGAACAAAACGTCCCAAGCAGCACGGGCTATGGTGAGCCCGTAGTGCCTTTATAGAAAAATATAATAGAAAGTGCATAGAAACTGTATGAAAGATAAATCTCCGGTTTCTGACTTATTAAAATCGTGGAGATTGCTACAGGAGCCTATATTTCTGTAATAGGGTATTAGGGTCTATCTTAAGGTTATCTTGAGATGATTTCGGGGCTTTAGTGTCCCCGCGGCCCGGTCCTCGACTAGGCCTCCACCCCTAGGAAGCAGCCCGTGACAGCTGACTAACACCCAGGTACCTATTTACTGCTAGGTAACAGGCGCATCAGGGTGAAAGAAACTCTGCCTATCGTTTCTCGCCGGCGCCCGGGATCGAACCCAGGACCACAGGATCACGCGTCCAGTGTTCTGTCGGCTCAGCCACCGTCTACCCCGATTGGCCTACGACACTCCCATACCCCCTACTGTGCCATTTTGAAAAATTGTGTTAGGTTAGACCCAAGCATCTGGTTCCATCCTTGGACAGACTCTTATAGATTTAAATTATTCCTTATATTTTTCCTTAATTTTCCCTTTCCATTTCCTTCTGAATTCCCCGCTCAC